TATTCTTATTTTATGTGTATGAGTGTTTTTCCTGCATGTATGTAAGGGTGCCACATGCTTGCAATGCCCAGGGAAGACAGAAGGGAGCATTGGATGCCCTGAAACTGTGGTTATGGACTGTTGTCAGCTGTCGTGTGGGTGGCTGGGAAACAAACCTGGGTCCTCTGCTAGAACAGTTGGTATTCTTCACTGCTGAACCATCTCTCCAGCCTTGATCTAAACTTTTAACAGGACAGATCGGTTGTCCCTGTTTTGAACTTGGATGTGATGGATCTTGCTCTTCATGTATTCCAGTGCCTGGCTTCTTTTGTTCAACGTTGTTTTTGATGTAGTGATGCATGTTGATGTTGTGTGCTCATCCTCCTTGCTGAGTATTCTGTGGTGGTGTGAATGAATACCCTTGCCGTATCTCAACTCAGTATCTTGCTCTGGATAGACATGAGTTTTTTCCAGGCTTGAGCTGTCATAAGTAATGTTGCTATGTCCATTCTTTACCTGGCTTTTCATAAGTATACACCCAAGTTTTTGGTAGGTGTGTATCAAAGATGGGAGTTGCTAGGTCATAAGATGTATATGATTAACTTTAGAACATACTACCAGCTTTCCAAAGTGTGCATTAATGCAGATCCCTTGAGCATAAGAAGTTTATTTTATTTTGATTATGGAAATAAATTTAAACAATAACAAGTATTCAGTGAAATATTTTTATTTAAAAATAATTACCTCTCCATAACTATTAAAGGATATTTTTGCTTTTAGTAGCTGATGAGAACTTTCCAGAACAAGAAAGAATAGTGAGAGATACGGGGCAATGTCTTTGCTTCACTTCAGGGACTTTGCAAGCTGCGGAGAATTTGGGCTCCCCTGGGTTGTGCTCAAATTAAGATGTGGCATTTCTGGAATTCCTTTGGTTCTCCAGGAAGCTGAGCTAAAGGAAAGTGACAGTTTGGGGTAGAAGGCAGGATGGCCCCCCTCTCCCTCCCCCCACTCCCAGCAGGATGGCCCCTCCCGTTCTCCCCCTACTCCCAGCTTTAAATCATCAGAAAGGGCTGAAGGATCTGAACTGTCAGGAGTGCTCATCAAGTTCATGCTTTAGGGAAACATTTTTCCACTTCCATTTTTCCAAGCCCCCTAATAACCAAAGAAAATATTTACCTTAAGGCCAACAAAATATCAGCTAGCTTCCATAATTTTGAATTCCTGTCTTCACACTCCCATGCATACACACAGCACATCACATTCACACAGAAAACTACCTTTTGTTTCTTCTATAATTTCACATGCAGTGCAAAGTATAAAAAATAAAGGAGCTACGGGCTGGAGAGATGGCTCAATGGTTGAACGCACTGACTGCTCTTGCAGAAGACCTGGGTTCAAATCTCAGCACCCACATGATGACTAACAACAGTCCATAACTCCATTCTAGGGGATTCGACACCCTCTTCTGACCTCCACATGCATTGCATGACACAGGTGTACTTATATGCATGCAGGCAATACACTCATACATAAAATAAAAATAATACGTAAAATATTTTTTAGAATAGTCTAAGACTCTTTGTTCCTAAAACATTACACCTTGCTTAAAACAAAACAGAAAACCCCAAACCACCCCTTCCCCCACTTATTCTACATAAGATTCCTAGACCATCTTGAACAAAAAGGTGATGTGAATAAGTTTAATAGTTCAGATAAAAGCAATGTCCTTGTTTGACTTAAGACCTAGGTTCAGGCCTCAACACTCCACCTTTTTCCTTAGGTTGTATTTTCTAACTTTTAGGCTTTAGTGTTTTGAATCTGTGTAATGCAGATTCTGATATCTGACTTGCCTACATATTCAGTTGTGAAGATTAAATGTGAAAATTCAGGTGAAATTGTAAATTATAAAAATTCTAAGTTTTGGGGAGCTGAATATAGCTGTCTTAGAACATGGTGGAAATTGACTCTGAATCTTGTAATTTTTTGCACACAGAAACCAACCTTTTAACCTTGTACTGTAACTTGTCTAAAATTCTACTGGCCGCTCACTATAGTTCTTAACCGTGCCCCCAGCACTGCAACCTGGGGACAAAACTGTCTGCTTTGATGGTAACCCTAATCTTCCATGATCATCTTTTCAGTGTTTGGGTGATTTAGAAGGGGTATATTCAAAATAGAGTCTACTGAATCACTACTACACACATCCAGAACCTTTTTGTTGTTTTAAATTTTTTAACCCCCCATTTTTAAGATACAGATGTACAGAAATGTTTGCAAGCCACAGAATGGACTACATAAAAATATTAGCCCCCATTACGTTAATATCCTCAGTACGATAGGAATTAAAGCAATCTCATTCCTGATACTCTTTAAACTATTTAAGAAACTATTGAATAATTCACTTTCCTCTTAAGAAAAGAAGGAAGCACCCCATTTGGCCATTGGCACGTGTTGGCTTGAGCACTGTGGATCTGGTTATCTTCCCTGGAGTCTCCCAGAACTCCTTCCTCAGTCACCTCCAGGTAACTACCTTCTCAGGAGGGAGGCTGTGCCCATGAATACCATTGCAGTGATAGGGTAATCAGATTACATTCATAAAGATCTGGATTCACCACGTTAGTGCAGTTAATTTTTAATCAAAATAAGATGAATATTTTTTGAAAATCTAATTATATAAATGCATAGACCGTATTCTGGGACTCTGGTGGGCAATGACGGCGGCCTAACCTTGGGAGACTGGGAAGTCAGAGTTGTGAAAGTGGAGAGCTGTAGGTTCATAATTCCTTTTCCATCTGGCCTGCCTCACTCTCTCCTTCCGTCTGTTTGCTCCCCCCAATCTACTACTTGGGATAAAACCTTAGGCTCATGCTAGGAAGACGCTCTGTCACTGAGCCACACTCCCAACCCCATAATTCTCTTTCTAAAATGAGATGTGTTTCAGGATTCAGAATCCTGACGCCCCTTGATCATAAAATACCACCAGTGATATCGGGAACAGAAAGAACCCTGTAATCAAATGTATGAATTGATGTGTGCAAAAAAGAAAAATGGAATGACATAAATTAATAAAGGCTATAAATACATATCAGTTCTAGTTAGGATTTACTGCTAGTTAAGTTCAAGGCATATTATGTCTTGGTAACAAATATGTTATCTAAGACTTAACCAGCTAGCAAATCCTTATAAGACAGAGTTAGGAGTGTCAGCTCTGTAGCCATATTGCCTGGCTTTAAACTTTAGCCTTGCTAAGTGATTTTGGTCAAGTTTTTAAACCTGCCAGGGTCTTAGGTTTTCATCTTTAGAAGAATTACAGTCATTTAAAAAATATTTTAAAAGATAGGTATAAGAGGTTCCATGAGCATTGCACTGCATTTCTGCATCTGTGTATGAAAGTATTACTGTGACTGTCAGAAAGGTATTTTATAAGCCAAATGTAATAGAACACTGAAGAGACCCAGGGCAAGAGAACTGTGAGTCAGACTAACCTGGTGAGTTCTGTGATACACAGTGATAACCCTGTCTCGAGAAACAAACAACCAACCCAAGGACAGAAGCAAGTAAACAACAACAACAAAAAGATGTTAGAGATAGCAAGCTTAGACGCTCACTCCATAGTAAGCACTCAGTACATTTTAACCAATGATGTTTTTATTATAAGCACTACTAGAAATAGGTAATTTCTGGGTTGGTAAGACCTGCTGCCAAGCCTGAAGATCTGAGTTTGGTCCTCGGTACCCACGTAGAAGAAGGAGAGAATCAAATCCCAAAAGTTGTCCTTGAATCTCTACATATACTCTATAGCAAGCATGGACATAAATGCACATACACAGTAAATGACAACAAAAAATTATAAAAATAAAACACCCCTATGGCCATTTTAAAGAAATAAAGGAGGGGGGCTCACAGCATCCACTGAATGAATGAAAGAATGTGGTACACTGGAGAATGGTAGGAGGCATGGTGGTAATTTGTAATCATAATTTCCCAAGCTATAGCTCCATCGCCTTCCCTACAGCCCTTCCTGTGTTTGTGCTTCTCCGCCCTCTGCTCCTGCTCCTGCCCCTGCCAAACCCCAGCAGTGTGGTCTTCCTTCATTTGCATTCTGTTTCAGTTCTACTGTGCTTGATGGAGCTTGGCACCTGTCTTTCTTACCGCAGCCACACAGGTGCGTTAGGCTGTCTGGGACATTTTCCCAGATCCTGACAAATGCTTGGCAGCGGGATAGAAAGGAGGAACAAAAATTTGGCTGACATCTCCAAGTCTGACTTCTTACTCATCTGGAGAGTGCATGGTATCTTGTGATTACTCAGTTAGGATATGATTTGGTCAGGTCCTAAGTCTACAGAGACACTTTAACTTCAAGCAGTGTGTGAAAGAGTAGGTGTGAGCTAGGCTAGGCAGGGACCTGTGGAGGAATTCCTGTGTTGGTGTGTCGCAGCTTGGCTTAGTATCATGGCAAGGCCACTGTGTTTCCTGGCATGAAAGAGCTGAATCTTCCCTTAAGGCCACACGTAGTTGGCGAGCTCCTTTGTATTACTGTCCTGAGGGGATGCTTGAGTAATGAAGGTGATAGATAATGTATGTAGGTACTGGCTGGGTAGGACATGAGAGAATATGGAAAGAATTCTTTTCAAAGAGTTTTACTGTGTTAGATTTTAGTGTCTGTAAACAATTACAGCATTCAGGGAGTGCAGGATTTAAATGAGAAACACAACTTTGTCAGATTATGGCAGTCGGATAAAATGGCATGGGCTCCGGAAATCTATAATTAAATGTATTTTTGAAAATGAGAAATATAGTGTAACACCTGGTTTATTTCACTGTAGAAGTGCCTGGGTAATGGTTCTATAAATAAGCACGATTGACTTTGGCTGATATTTGATTTTCTTTCTGTAAAATCACTGTATTTTAATTAAATTTTTTCCTACTTGATTCTATTTTGCGTCGCATGCAACAAATTATTCACACACATAGAAAGTGACTCTTCGAAAACCTAACGCTCATTTTCTTTGTCATTGCAGCGGATATTCAACTCCTTGGTATACACGGAGAAAATCTCGAATGGAGAAGGAGAAGTTCAGCAGGTAAAAAGCTACTTGTGAGCACTCTACCCTGCGGCTTTGTCTTGGCTTCCCCGGGGCCCCTCACTCCTCAGTAGCCTCCAGTAGATGTTGCTTATTATTCTCTCTTCCTACTGTTCCATCTCCTGTGTAATGGTGACATCCTCACATTTCAGGTGCAAAGAAACCATTGAAACTGTGTAGATGGTTCACTGCTCTTCATGATATATCGGGAAGCATTCTCTTTTTCTTTTGAGCATTTTGGAACTTTCCAAACCTAAAAGTTTCAGAATACATTTCATCTAATGCAGAAAATGGGATCAGACACTGCCTTCTGGTATTTGTATGTGCTCTTTGGCCATGGTAAACAGTTTCCCCTTTTTTGATCTGTAGTTTCTCAACCTTAAATAAGAGAATCCTAGTATCTGACTTACAAGGTTGTGAGAATGAAGTGATACCAGATTAACTGAGAACAAATTGAAGCCATCTCTGTGGAAGGTTCTGGCATAGAGACAGCTACTGCATGATGTTTCTTTGTGCTCTTCTTTTTCTTTCCTTTTATTTCTTTTTTATATTTTATTATTCTTATTTTATGTATATGAATGTGTATGAATGTGCCTGCCTGTGTGTAAGTGTGCCCGTATTGTGCAATGCCTGCAGAGGTCAGAAGAAGGCGTCAGAGCCCTGGGACTGGAGTTTCGGATGGTTGTTAGCCACCATGTGGGTGCTGGGAATGGAACTCTGGTCCTCTGAAAGAGCAGCCAGTGCTCTTAACCACTGAGCCATCCCTCCAGCCCTCTTTGCTCTTTTTCAGTACACTGCAGTCAAGGTGTTTAAAGGCCAGATTCTATTTATTTATAGCTGGCTTCAAGTGGACTACATCCTAAGTTAAAACACAGTGCTGGTGAACTTGGTCATAAATAATTAGCAGACTCTTGAGAAGAAGAGGGTTAGAAAAAGAGGCGGTTTTAATTTCAGCTCATCTACCACCTTCATTACAGCATGTGACCGGCAACTAGTAATTTGAAACCAGGGTTGAAACTTCAGTGAGAAACAGAACCAAACTAAAAACCAGAGTGTGGCAGAGGGCTTGCATGAGATAAAAAGACAAATAAAATGCATAAAGAGAACTCTTTGAGTTCCTGTTGTTTTTGTATTCATGGAGACAGCTTGACCTGATCTGAGTTTCAAAAGTGCTTTCCAAGAAGAAAGGGCTTTGCATTAAGGTGACATTATTTATAGGATAGTTATTTATTTACAATAAATTACTGTGCTTTAACCTAAAGTTCAGCATTTCCTGTTTATAGACATTGACATTTTTAGTGGTTTGAGGGCAGGTTAACTTTAAAGTGGTGAGGCATATATCATTTTTTTTTGTTTACGTATTGCTGAAAACAAAGGGCGAGCACTTGCCTTTTCTCCTTAATTCCTGAAGATGTTTATTCCTGAGAGCTAGAAGCCACTTTAGAATCATTAAATCTAGAGGAGTTGTTATGGGCTAAATTTCTACACAACTGTGTTTGTTGGAGGAAACTTTCTGGGAGACAATGGCTGCTTGATAACATTTTAAAGAAACTGATCTTGGGAGATCAGTTTTGGCTCGTTCCTTGAAGTAACAGATACAGGTGCTTACTTGACCTGTTTCCAAATATGCAGCTGTTTTGTATTCTTAAACCTCTATTGCTTTACTTAACTAGCTATCAACAAGTTTGAAAGCCTTAGATAATAGTTAGAAATTATAGCAACTGATTGAGCACTTGCAGACCCCAGCTGAGAGGCCATTTCAATATATTAATCCATGGTGTTTGCCAATAACCTTCAAGAACAGATTAGCCTACCAGACATGAGGCAACTGAGACCCCCAAAGGTAAAATAAGTCACCTGTACTCTCATGACTATTAAATAGGCAAGTAAGTTTTCAAAACTCAGTTTGGCACAAATGTATGTTATCTAATCTTAATCTGACAGGACTCTGCCAAACTGTTTCCATCTCAAAAATTGAACTGAGAGAGAAGTCCCCAGTCTGTTCTGTGCATCTTCCAAAACTCAGTTTGGCACAAATGTATGTTATCTAATCTTAATCTGACAGGAGTCTGCCAAACTGTTTCCATCTCAAAAATTGAACCGAGAGAGAAGTCCCCAGTCTGTTCTGTGCATCTTATCACTGACTGTCAAAGCAGTCTTCCTGAAGCTAAGCCAGGATGTACTTATTAACTTCTGCACCCTCTCCACTCTGCCTACTAGGAGCATTCTAAGCAAGTGGGTCTTATGTCCTCTCTCTAGCTTGCATCCGGAGATAATTCTATCACTACCTTTTAGCCTAAATCTTTAAAAAGATATTTTATTTATTATTTTAATTTTATGTGTATGCATGTATTGCCTGCATGTAGATAAGTGCACCCGTGTTGTGCAATGCCTGCAGAGGTAAGAAGAGACCGTCGGATCCTGGAGTTGAAGACAGTTGTTAGCTGCCATGTGGGTGCTGGGATTCAAACCTGGGTCTTCTGCAAGAACAACCAGGGTTCTTAACTGCTGAGCCATCTCTCCAGCCCCCTAGCCTAAATCTTAATACGTACAAGTCCTGACATTTTTTTCTCCTATTACATGATTTTTAGATCATTTCAGCCTCATGAACAGTTTAACAACAATAAAAGTATATGGTTACATGTTTATTGAAAATTTTCACTAAAATGAGACTTACCCCATTTTATACTAATAAGACTCCTGATCCCCTCCCCTTGGGATTATCGTCTTCATTTGGTCAAAAACTATACATACAGAGGAGCCAGTGAGGTGACTCAGCAGGTAAAGGTGCTTATCATGTAAGCCTGATTTAAATTTGATTTCTGAACCCCCCTTAAAGGTAGAAGGAGAGAACCAGCTCCACAAAGTTGTCCTCAGACCTCCACACACATGTCTCAATATGCATGAAAACACACACATCTTACCCACAATAATGATAATTTTAAATAAACAATTCAGAAATTCTGGACCCCATGATATTGGACAGTGCCCAGGATAAAATCTGTCATGTTTCCTGTTCTATAAAACGTCTCGCCAAAATCATCCACACATTTATCTCCTTCAATCTTCAGAACACTAGTAATTAAGCTGGCTCTTCAAAATTGTGAAATTTATATAGCATGTAAAGATGTGTAAAACATATAGGTATAGGTAAAGAAACAGACTAAAGGTGTGGGCCACCTTTAAACAGCCAAGCTGCTTTCATTTTCCATTAGTGATTCCCTTTTTTGGCTTTTTGGTTTGTTTTATATTACCCACAAATTAATTTCTAGTTTGGCTATTTTTGTCCTTTATAAGATTATTATTGTTTATCTTCATGTATCTTGTTTCTTTTACTAGATGTTAATTCTTTGCAAGTACCTATATTGATATCTGCAGTTAAAGTTCATTAGAATTTATTTTTTTACTTTATGTGTATGAGTGCACCCATGTTGTACAATGCCCATGGAGGTCAGAAGAGAGTATCAGATCCCCTGGAACTGGAGTTATGGATGGTTGTTAGTTGCCAGGTCCTCTGCAAGATGGCTCTTAACTCCTGAGCCACCTCTCCAGCCCCTATAATTTCCACCACACACCCACCCCACGAAGGAGGCTGTTTAATGGGCTCAGGACAAAAGACAAAATTCCAAGGGTTAGGGTATGTAGGAAGGGAAGGCCACACATAGCCAGAGCCACTGGGGGTTCAGTTGCCGGGGGAGGAAGGGAATGTTCCCAGGGCCTTGGGATGGGAGCAAGGCCTCAATATGGGGCCATGGGAGCTGTGTGCACCTCAGGATCCAAGGGGTGAACCCCCAGGGGCTGAACTCCTGGGGCGGGGGGGGGTACACTGCCAGAGCAGGTGGGTGCACTCCTGGAGGCTGAGGGTGAACCCCAGCTGATGGAGGAGGGTGGACTGTTGTAGCTGATCGGTGCACAACAGTGTCTGGTGAGTAGACTCGTGAGACTGGTGGGTGCACCCCAGGGGCTGGAGGGTATCCCAGATGGGTGCATCTGGGTGCATCCCAGATGTTGGTGGATGGACCACTGGAGCTGGAGGGTGGATCCCTGGAGCTGTGGGATATACTCCAGATGTGGGGAGGTGGACCACCGGGCCTGGAGGGTAGACCCCAGGAGCTCCGTGGGGGCATCTCGGGAGATCCAGAGGGTCCAGAGGAAGCAGGTCCAGTTGGGGACATGGGGGATAGGAGCAGGTCGCTAGGTAACAGGGGCAAGACATCTGGCAGCGGTGGCTGAGGGGGCAGGCCGTTCATAGGTGGAGTGGGGCCGCTTGACACCTGGAGTCCAGCAGGGAAGCTGGGCGGAGCTGGGAGGCTTCTCCATCTTAAAGTGGAACTGGAGGAAAAACTGCTTGATCTCCCGGTTTCAGTGGATCCAGAACTTGCCCTTGGCCTTGTCTGTCTCCAGGCTCTGCGCCTTGAAAGTGATGGTCTCGTAGGGCTCGGCTGCCTGTGCTCGCACTGCCAGAGGTGGTCTGGGGACTCGATCCTTTGTTTGTAGGCCCATGGGAAGAGGTGCATGATGCCATCAGCCATCTCAGGGTAGTCGAACTAGATCAACAGGCTCTGCTGGCCCACCTCCGTACCCCTCTGCTTAGTCACTTTGTAGCCCAGGTTTTCGATCCTCACGAGCTTCACCTCCACCGTGACCTTCTCCGGCGCTGGTTGCAGGCGCTGTCTTGGCCTCGCTGGCAGCCCGCCAGGCCAGGTTGGTCTGACGTTTCTTCTCCTGGGTGTAGTCCAAGTAGCTCCCCTCATTGTTGTGCAGTGTCAGACAGAGTTTGCATTCACAGGATGGTTCTTCAAAAAACATGGGTCCCTGTTAATGTCAGCGGTTTTTAGGGCCAGCTGCTGCAGGCACCCTTGGCCATCCAGATTGCTTTTGGAGGAGGGGGAGGCCACCCACGTTCCCAGGGTCTTGCCCCAAGGATGATGCTGGAAGTCCATGATGAGGTTCTGGGGGTGTCAGGGTACAGGGAGAAACCTGCACCCAAGGGCAGAATA